AAAGGCTAAATCATGTCATCTGGACCAGTTTCTTTAAGTGAGAAACATTTCACGTTTTAAATGGACCTTCTGGAAACTAGACAGCTTGTAATGGGGCAGGTTATTGTCACACGCCTGACAGACAGTGCATGACAACAGGACTGTGAAGACCAAATTGTCCATATGTGGCCACCAGTAATGTTCTCAAAAATATTGTTTGGTGCGAACCATGCCCTGGTGTCCTTCATGAACCAGGTGCTCAACCTTTATCTTTTTCTCTCTTCTTTTTTCTCCCACTTAGGAATTACTAGCCATTTTTTTCCTTCAGAACATTATAGGTGACCAAATGTGATGGCCATATCTAGCCACCATTAAAATGACATTTGATATGTTAACTGTCCGCCCTGTGATGGTCTTGCGACCCGTCCAGGGTGTACCCCGCCCCTCGCACAGTGATTGCTGGACATGGGCACCAGCGATCCCCGTGACAGAATGGAATAAGCGGGTAAAGATAATGGATGGATGGATGGATGTTAACTGTCCCATTCTGAAATAAAATATGGGTTTATGAGACTTGCACATCACGACATTCTGTTACTGTATTTATATTTACACAAAGCCCTATCATTTTCAGATTTGTGGTTGCATTTCCCAATATTGTTTACTGACGTCTCATACCACAAAACCAACTTGACTTGGCTGTTCTGTCTCATTTACAGGAAGTAGAGCAGTGTAGTATTTTGGTTGCCATGCAGGTTTGTAAAAAAGGAACCAGCAGGCAGCTGTGACACTCTCGGCATGGCATTCAGAGAATCTGTTGCCTGATCTGTTTGCTGGGATCTTGTTTCATTGAACTAACAGGAACAGACGCACATACGTGCACTCTTACCAAGGCCAGACACGTGAGCTGCTTATTCTTTCAGAGCTTCCCTTACAGGAAACTTCTTGAGCATCAAGAGGACAGTTCTGCTGCTGATTCTTACTTTTTAGATGTTTGACACTTTGTTTCTGGTGTCACACATGTATGCTTTGATTCAGCCATGTATAAAAATAGAAAGGGGGAGGAGCAAGAAGGACACTTGGACCTGTCAGTTTGTCAGTCCCTGCACTCTGTACTCTTGTTTTTGCTTCACATCAAACTACAGAACAATTAATGCAAGTTTTTATTCTCCCTGAGCAACAAATGACATCTGCTATGCTTTTGATACTTGTTTTTTCACACCTTCAAAGGCACAAGAGAAGTTTTTGTTCATGTCTGTCTGTATTTGTCTGTACTACAGTGTATACAATGCTTATAAGTAGTTGACCTTTTGGATGTTTTATGCTTTTATTGCCAGCATAAATACAAAGTAAATCATGGTCAATGTAAATTGACTCTTTAAAAATCCAAACTTGTAAAGTTAAAGTGTAATCAAATTTCCACAGATTAATACCAGTTAAATAATAAAGTAATGTAAAATAAGTGACTCCATACATTTTCACCCCCTTTAAACTTCTCTTGCGACTGTCCTAATTTACTTTAGTGGTATTTATTACTGAACAGTAAAAGTCAGGGGTTGCATAGAAAAATATTTCCACGACTTTACACATGTTCAGGAGTCCTCTTAAATCCATCATCAAGAAATAGAAGGGTTGAGGTTAGGTGTGCAAATCTATGAAGAGCAGGTCGTCCTCACAAAATGAGTGGTCGATCAAGAAGGAGCAATGTGAAAGAGACCACCAACACACCAGTGACCACCTTAAATGAGATACATGCTTCAGCAGGTGTGGTGGGAGAGATTGAGCATTCAACTGTGGCCTGGGTTCTTCTCCAGTCGAAGCTTTATGGGGGAGTACAAAGAGAAAGACACTGTTGAAGAAAACCCTTTAAATCTGGACTAGAGATGGCTGCTGAGAAGCACTTGACCATGGAGTCTTTCATTTGTCGAAACTAAATACATATTGAGACAAATGTTAATGAAAATGTCAGAAAGTAATCATTGGATGTATTCCTACAACTGAATAACTTTTGGATTCAATCCCTTTCAAGAAGGTTGATGAAGCTAATCAACAACACATTTCTGTCCAGTTTGGTTCCTCCCAAAGAAGCTCTGAGCATCCTCTTTGCTGCCACCTCCAGCTCCTCCTCCTGTCCTTTTGTTTGTACCATTGTCTTTGAACTAAACATCGAAGCAGACCTCAGTACAATCGTAAACTTTCCTTTCACGTTTGCAACTCTCCTTTTGTCACAAATTCTCCCCGACACTTGTCTCCATGCACTCCCATATTCACCATATGTGTTCTGTTTGTTCTGCTTTGGAGAATCAACCCCAGGAACATAAACTTATTCACCTTCAGTTCCCACATTCGTCATAGAAAATACATCATTTTAGAGCTACAAGAACTAGTTTTGTGCACAAGCTCCTGGCAGAACTTTGTTCTCACACGGGCACACAACAAATATTGTCTGATTGGTCAGAACCCAGATAGTCAAATGGTGAAGAACTTATGGAAGGAGGTAGTACAATCATTGTGCATGGAGGAATCCATCAGCCCGAAACAATGCTTGTCTTTTTGTGACAGATTTGCAAAGGCCACATGGTGGAGGAAAGGGTGGAGTAGAGACCGTTGTGGGAAGAACCCTGTTTCACTACTGTTCACAGCTCTTCAGTTCTTACAGTGAATGGACGTTCATGTAAAACACAGTGAGACAACCACCAATATAAATGTTTTACAGTGACGTAAGCACGGATGATCATCAGAACATTTGTTTGAGTGAGTGAATGAGTGATTGAGACTAATAAATACTCAGAGAGCTACTGAAGTTCCAACTTTCTGCGACCCAGTTAAACTTTGAACGATGCTTTTATTGTGAAGTTTGCCTGTGTTGCAGAGTTATAAAGAGGGCCGGGTTTGACACACATTTTTTGCCAAGCTTTCAGTGATATCTAGTATGTTTATCCAATCACAACAATTTTCAATCAGGTCATCTGGACACTTTCTTTTTTTTTTTGTTGCTGAAACGTTTCACCTTCCATCCAGAAGGCTTCATCAGTCAAGGAAACAGTCAAGGTTTGTTCCACTTTGGAGGAAGCTGTTTGGGGGAAGAATCAGTTTTGTGTTTCCTTGACTGATGAAGCCTTCTGGATGGAAGGTGAAACGTTACAGCAAAAAAAGAAACTGTCCAGATGAACTGACTGAAAATTGTTGGATTGCATACCTGGATTATTGAGCATGGACTTTTTTGGTTTATCCGATCAGTTTCTACAGATTTTGTCTACATTGAGCAACGTACCACAGTTAGGACTCTGTTTGTGTGTAATGTGTGATGCAGTGGGAAGACTTATCATGAATTTTGTGCTGATGCTTCTCCTCGAGTATAAAATGCTCATGCAAACTAGAACATCTCACAACCATGTGAGCGAGAACTGATCTTTTTTATGTCCCACAGACTTTAAATGAACCTTTACTCTCACTACAGATCCTTTATATGTAAATTAAGAAAATGTTCAATTACTTTAATTTAGAATCCATAACCTTTATATTAAATAAATGTGAAATCCACAAATTGTTTTATTCAGCACACACAGTAAAGTACCATTTCTCAACTTTTTGAAGAATCGGTTTGAGTATTCAAAATCAAAATACAAAGTTTAAGAGTTCAAATGTTATCGTATATCTGAGATAATGTTTAGCTTGTTACCCACCGGAACCTTTTTCAAGGTCAAGGTCAAGGTCAAGGTGTCTTTATTGTCATTCACATCACATGTGGTACATGAAGTGGAACAAAACTATGTACACAGGGTCCCAGTTACATCCAACAAAAATACAAGTTGTAAAGAAAAACAGTAATAATATCTAAGATATGAACTAATAAATACACTAAACTAAGAATATACTAAGCACTAATAATACAAAACAATTTTGCATGGGGCAGCTGTGGCTTAGAGGTTAGATCAGTCGTCCTCCAATGCGAGAGTTGGGAGTTCGAATCCACCAGCAGTCACAAGTCGAAGTGTCCCTGGGCAAGACACTGAACCCCTCATAGCCTCTGATGTGTGTCCCATCTGTGTATGAATGTGATCTAAAAGCACTGATCAGTCTCTTTAGAATGATTTGTTCAATTAGCTTTGTAGAGATGTACAGTGCTGTATGAATGGGTAAATGAGGCACAGATTGTAGTGTAAAGAGCTTTGAGTATCTTGAAATAAGATAGAAAGGCGCTGTATAAGTACAGTCCATTTACCATTTACCATCTACATCCAGTATCTTTATCACATCACTTCATCATCATCATCAGTGTGCATTATAAATGTCAGATTACTGAACTGGGAAAAAAGGAATTCATCCTGAAATTGTTATCAAAAGGTAAAAGGCAGGCATTAATGTCTGTGTCTGTCTGTTAGCAAAATATCTCAAGAAACACAAAATTTTAATGTTAACCTCAGAAAGTAATCATTAGATGAACATTTACAACTAAATATCTTTTGCGCTCTGTCCAATTAAAGATGGCTGCAAGAGCCAAGTGCCTTTAGCAAACACAAAAATGGCCATATGTTGTGGATTTAAAAGCTTCTGGAGCCAAACATGTGGTTGTAGCTGAGAGTCATTTACAACACACACACTGAGGGTGGCATTGGATCATATGCTCCTTCATGGAATATTAGGTGTTTAATTTCATAAATAGTTTCTAAACAAACAAAGTGAAAGATAAATGATTTAGTAAAACAAGATGTTTTTCATTTGGCCAGCTCCTGCTTTTAGGTTGTTGGGTTATTTTAGTCAGTTCTGTCCGTGTCCTGAGATTAGTACGTACTCCACAACAGACACAAGACACAAACAGTACAGAACATGCATTTTACTGTGAATTACACACCCTAACATGTCTTAAATTATAATTGGATGTAAAAAAAACCCAAAACAAAAACAACAACCAACCATCAATAACAGTGTTCAAGACTTTGACTTGGAGTACAACATTTTCTAAAGCTTTACATAGACTTCAGACCTGAAGAATCTTTGATCAACAAAGAATGACTTACCGTAATATAAAGAAACAATCCACACCAAAAACAGCTGTGCCTTAGTCAAACACATTGTCTGTCAGGAGAATTGAAAATAAAATAAAATGGAGTTAGCTGTTAGCAGGTCTGAGCGTGACCCGTCTACTGAGTCGAGACAGAATTAAGCTGGAGCAGCTGGTTCAGACAAAATCTGAATTCTGGGCTCTCCTGTTTCATTTCCCACCTAACACCCCCCCCCCCCCCCCACACACACACACACCACATCCCAGCCCCTCAAAGAGACAGCTGTATGTGTTTGTGTGTGTGTGTGTGTGTGTGTGTAACATCACCTTATGGGGAATTCTTGTTGACATGGGGAGAATTATTTAGCCCTGCAGATACATATTTATTTGGTTTTATTATATATGATATTAATTTTTGTCCTGAATCTTGGAATCAAAAAGGGCAAATTGAAAATACTCTTCATCTGTCTGTCTGTGAATGTTGTGAGCATGACAACTTGGAAAATAAGTGTTACCAACTTCCATCTTGGTGTGTGACTGCATCTAGATGAAATAAAGGGTTCTTTCAAAAATTGGGTTGTCAAGTCAATATCCAAGATGGCTTCCATCATAAATGTATATATATTAAACTTGTGAGTTGTGTAACTAGAAAAAAAAACAGTGTGATGACATTTTTTGGTGTGTAGCTTCATCTAGGCATAAGAAAGTTCACTATCAAAATTGAGAAACCAAGCTATACACACACACACGTA